AGCGAAGAGGTTGTCCGTATTGCTATATTTACTTCGAAAGCCGGCTTGTTCTCTAGGCTACTGCTCATCTAGTGGCACTGTGATGCGGTTGGTAATGATTCTCGTGATCAGCTTTTACACGTGGGAGAACAAGAAGATCGGGCGATAATTTTTCAGGTCATCTTTGTCGCTCATTTTATGGAGCAGAACGGCTTTCAATTCCTTCCAACTGTTAGGGATGGTCTTCTCAGTCAGGTGGCGACTGAATCTAGCCGAAAATGCCTTCCGAAGTGCGTGCCCACCGCCTTTCATCAGCTCAATGCTAATGCCGTCGTTACTGAGAGCTTTTCAATTTTACATCTTGTAGATTGCGTTTCTTACTTCACTGATCAGCACTGGGAGTATTTGTTTCTTGGCGGTTCGAATTTCAGGTGTTCGAATGTCTGCACATGAAGCAAACAGTTTCGTGTAGAATTTTCTACATAGTTCTTCCATAACTGTTCGGTCCGTGATTCGACGTCCATCCTCATCCTTCAGCGCTGCTGCTGTTCGATGGTATAACAGCATTTTCCCTACTGCATTTTTTCAGGCTATATTTTCTTTGAACTGCCATTATTTGCCTTCGACGATTGCAGTCTTCGAGTCCTCCTTTAGCTTCTTACGAATTAACCTGCAGAGAAGGCTGTACTGTACATTCCTTGCCTTATTCCGCTGCATGGTTCTTCTCTTGTTTAGTAGTTCTTTTGTCACCTCTGAGACCGTGGAGTCCAGTCGTCGAGGCTGAGCATGTTCGGCTCTTTTTGAGCACCGAGGGAGCTTCTCAGTAAAATTTTGGTAACCTTGTTCCAAATTCAATCGGTAGTTCCGACTTGCCATCCCATCTCTGCTTTGTTGATCTCGTGGGTCCTTTACGCTGTTACTACACATACAAAGCCCATTATTCGACAGCCGGAATTATGTGTATTGTTGCCCGCAGCATGCGGTGATCGCTTCCTGTGTTGCACGAGGGTACGACGGATATAGACATCCTTCAAAATGCGCTGTGTATCTATCAAAATATAGTCGATTATTGATATATTGTTCACAATTGCATTTTCTGTGACCCATGTCCATCTCCGGCCCACTTTCTTTCGGAACCAGGAGTTACCGAAGAACAGTTTGTTGGCCTCTGCCATTGCTACCATTCTATCGACCCTGTTGCTTCGCTTTCCTGTAGCAAATCTGCCAATGCGCTTCTCTGGGTTCCCCCTCCCTCGACCAAGTTCTGCGTTGAAGTCGCCCATCACTACCGCATAGATAGACTTGTTGGTGAGAGTTGATTCGAGTTCCGCATAGAATTCTTCAACCTCATCCTCGTCGCTGGTCGTAGTGGAGGCATAGACTTGAACGATTTTGAGCGTCTTGTTTGAATCCAGTTGTAGAAGGAGTGGTGAACGACTCGCGGTGAACTGAAGCAGCAGGAAAGGATTCGTAGAGATCACTTCTTGTTCACGATATTGTTCCGATTCCATTTAAGTTCCTCTGTCCTTCTCCTTTTCTCGGAAGATCCGTGTTGCCATCCCTCAAGGTCGCGTTGAGCACTGACTTTCTTCGTGTTTCGCATAACCCAAGGACATCACCAGACGTTCTATCTATCTCTTGGAGAAAATGGTACGTTTGTTCAACCCTCGACAGCGACCTACAGCTGTGCGTGCATGTCGACAAGTCAGGTCCATTTCTTTTCTTTTTATCGGCCTGGTTCATCCTGAACCCCTTATCCTTCGGTTTCCAGCCTGACGCCGGAAGTCGGTCCCAAGAGCGCGCAGGGAACTGGGGCCCATATCCATATTGCATGGTTGTTGGGCCTGTTAATTTACCACTCGCTGGTCCAGTCTGTCAGTGTTACCGGACATGCTTAGCCGCCAGAGATGCAATGCTGCGTCATCTCGTCTTATAGGAGCTGCCAGGGCACGTGCTCCGCCGTGCTTCGACGCCCCGACCGTTGTCACTCCCACACCACGATAGGGTGGCTGGGTCGGGATTTTGTGGGAGCGCTATATCATAATAACGAATTTATTTACGTTTATCACATTGATCTTTTCGTGTGCATTTTTGAACGAAACTTTTGATGGTCGGTTTCAGTGCCGCCAAACATGCATGGTTCAGAAGAAACTATTTTTGTCGAAGTGGTCAAAGACAAAAACGCTGTACTCAAATGCCCTCTGCTCGTTTATCCTGAATCAGCCGTGAACAACATTGTCTGGCGTCGATACAACGAGATTATATCAGTAAGTATTTGGTAATTTTAATAATAACATTTCTGAGGTTCCACAAGCAACCTTAAGGCACGGAATTGTAAGTTATGTATCACAGAAACGTACAGTTAATGAAGTTAAATATTTTATTGATATATTGATGCATTACATTATATGCACACAAAATACCTTTACACAAAACAGTCGCCAGATGATTTGTTATGCGCGGTGGCGCAGTGGAAAAGTAGTCAAATTTGCACTGCGGCTGCCGGGTTCGAATCCGCTGAATGTACGACCTATGTCTTTGCGACGAATTCCCTTGAGCAGGAAATTAACCACACGTTCCTTGTGCTCGACTAGCCAATAAATGGACAGTAAGTGCTTTGACTTGCGCAAAATAGGAGCGGTATGGTGTTCTGGTCTGGTGGTGCCAGAATGGAGAAAGTGCACGGTCGTCATGTCCAGTGAGAACACCGCTGTGGCACCTCTTCACCTGATAGCTGACTATTCACTGCGATGATCAGCACAAGGTGTTATCCCAATTTCGATTTCTAAATAAGATGATCCCTGGACAAGAAGTCGGATTAAAAATTTCTGCCGGGATGTTCAGATCTGTGTGACTTTGCAGAGGCTGTTTTCGGCAGCATTTCTTACGGTTCTTTGAGGCAGTGCAACCGCAGACGAAACAGTCACTTTTAATGACAGGAGTGGGGCTACAGATTAAAACGATATTTACTGAATTTACACCGAAATTGCATAATCATCCAATGACCGTCGAACCGCAGTGTATCTTACCACAGATATTTTGAATTATCTTCTAACCGTACTCAGTTAAGTAATTAAACAGACGTATCGATCGAAGATTCATATATGAAAACATCTGATTATCCTTTTGTTAGACTTTGACAGGAACCTGGTAATGAATTGTATGCTTTACTGTTCACAGATCTTAGCGCGTTACTTTCAGATAATGAAATTAGTTCATTAGCTCATCCTATTCCAAGGTGATTAGCGAATTTCCATTCGACGTACAGCAAATGGAATACAGTCGCGTTGTTTCAGACTCCATAGAATTGGCTGTTATTTTTTCTGGGGCTAATGTTTTGCTGTTTAGCTTATCAGTGACAATTGCTCTAATTATAACACTGCTGAATTCATTCTTTAGTTGACCATTCTCTCCGTATGTGACTACTTTGATTCTTCTTCTCTGTCCATAAGGCACTCCGCTGCTTTGAAAACTTCTCTTTGGTTCTAGCTATAGGGGCAACATTCGTTCTGATTAATCATAGCCAGAAATCTTTACAATTTGAAGTCCATGATAAAGTAAGGCGTGTGAAAGTAATGATTTCTTCTCAAAGAATAAAAGATACAGAAGATCTGAAGAATTACAGGTCAAAATCCTGATCACTAATTGCTTACAAGCTCTTACGAAGGTACTGAAGAGTATTTCAAACAAGCAGCGAATATCAGTTTCCTCTCTGCTTGAGGTTCGTCGATTTTGAGGTGACTTTGAACCCTGTTTACATCCGTTCCATACTAAATTCGCTGAGGAGTTAGAGAATCAAGAAATAATGTAGATTGCTTAGCGCCATGATTTAAAAAAATGTAACTGCTAGGTTAAAACTTTACTAAGGTAAACCAAGCGCAGACTCGGAAAGGACGTCCGGCAGTACGGTACAGTATGATTGAATTATTCACAGCAGCTCTGGAAGAGGTTTGCAAGACACTGCAATTTGAAAATCAGCGATGAAGATAAATTGGTACTGCTTAAACCAGCTGCAGTTGTGGAGGACATTCTACTCCTCTCAAGATTACCAGAAGAATTTCACAAACGTGTCCAACAGCTGTAAAATGTCAACATCAAAGGACCCCTGAAGATACATCTGAAGACTCAGGTTATGCTTTGCAAATGCGTGACCCCGTGACCTATTGAAAGCGTGACTTAGGCTTCAAGAGATGCCAAGCAATATGTTTCGGTGGCAACTCAGCTCTTAGATGAAGAATTGACTCCTCAGATCAGTGGAAAAATAAAAATTGCATTTAACAGTTTTAGAACATTGAAAAAGTTCTTATGCGGGAAACTGTCCATGTGCTTGAAGCGGAAAGTGTTCGATCAATATATGCTGTGCTAAAGCATGGTTGTGAAACGTAGACCCTAAGACGGGAAGCAATTCATAAACTGCAGACTACGCAACGTCACGTAAAAAAGTGAAAGATAAGAAGACGACTGAATTGACACAAACATAAGTCTGCTTGTCATTGCCGAGTGCCAAAGTTGACGTGGCAGTGGGCAGGACATGTTGCAGGAGGAACCGACTATCGCTGGACCAATGAGATGTCAGACTAGGTCACAAAAACAGTAAACGGTTCGTCGGAAGATTTGCACCTCAATGACGTAATGGCTTGAAGAAGTTTGCTGGAGCTAGGTGAGTAAGAATCGCAGAAAAGAGAAGTTTTTAACACAGCCTTTGGATCGAAAAAGGCTGATCACGATGATGACATCTTTTGAACGTTTAATGGTTACTTTGCTAATGTTTTCACTTTACCTCTTTTCTAGTTGAATGATATTCGTTATCACGTCTCTTTCGACCATCAACAACTGATGATTTATCGAGCTCAAGAAGGAGATGAATCATTTTATTCGTGCACAGCTGCGAACCCTGCCGGAGCAGTCACAAAATACTATTATTTATCCGTTCTCGGTATAAATGTACGCAAGTATAGAAGACGCTTTTTAAGACATTACTTGCAGTTCCACCTTTTATCGCTGGTGAAACAAACCAGGTGATGCAAGTTCCTCAAGGTTTGCCTCTCTTGGCCAGTTGCGACGTCGGTGGCATTCCCAGACCTCACGTACTGTGGCGAAAAGCCACACAGTCGATTTCGTCAGACTTCGAAGTATGATCGTTTCTGACATTTTCCAACGTAAATTATTCAATTCAGGTCATCAACCTTAATCGAAGCTTGTACCTTTCGCAAGTTTCGAAACATCATGAGGGACTATACGTTTGTGAGGCAGAAAACAAATGCGGAAAGGCCTCGAAAGTGGTTTATGTGGAAGTGCTTCAGAAGCCGGTGTTTCGTGATGATGTGGGAAAAGCGAACCTGACGGTCATCAGAAGAAACTTTGTCATTTTCGAATGCTTCGTTGAGGATGGCTCAAATCTTAGCCTTCACATTCAGTGGATGCGCCATGGACACTACATAAAAGCAAACACATCTCGATTTAACGTAGTTATTATTTGTAGATTTTAGATTATATTTGCTTGACCATCTTTTTTCAGATACTTTCTAGAGGTCAGCGCCTTCTAATAGATTCACTGAGAAGAAACGATTCTGGTCGGTATAGCTGCGTGGTACAAAACAAATTGGGTTTAATTAGCAGACACTTCCATCTCACAGTCGAAGGTGATATTCTGACAAAGTTTTCAGTGCTGCATAACATTCTGCTGTTTAGTTCCTCCTGTAATTCGAAATGAACAAATGCAAATTCAGGCACGGCTAAATTCATCGTTAAAGCTTTTCTGTGATGTCGACGGAGTACCTGAGCCCAAAGTAACATGGCTACTAAACGGTCGTCCTATTAAGGAAGTTTCAAATGCGCATGTAAGCCACTGAGATCAGTAATGGGCAAGAAAGTAAAGCATTTTGTAGATTTCTTCAAATGACAAGCTGTTGCAAATTTCGCAAGTGAAAACTCTTCATCACGGGTGGTTTCTATGCTTTGCCGAGAACAGCATTGGAACGGCGGAATTTGAATTTCATGTTGAAGTTCAGAGTAAGTCTTAATTGCGAAAATATCGTTTTTAATTCTTGCAAATCTCACGTAAAGTATACTTGATATATAATTTCTTAATAACTTCAATAAAAACTCAGTTATTTAAATATATCTTTGTCCCTCCTATCTCATATACCTTCCTCGGATTTGAGTCGTTTATATCGTTTAACTTAGTCCTTTGTTCCTGTTTGGTGATTCCTTGGCAAATAAAATAACAAAAACTTGAATTCTCCGTGAAAGTATGTGAAATATAGGCGAAGCCTCGGTCAACGATTTATCATCAGAGTCTAATCTATAAGCGAAGTATTCAGATTTCTTCTGTCATGAACTTATATTACATGTGTATCTGTCTTTTCTTCGAACTGAGATTTAAAGTTATTGTGGTTATTAGATTAAGCTGTTTCCAGTCATTTATTCACAGCTGATGTCGCGACCTAGCAGATTGATCCGAAGCGAATCGATTTTCTATATTACACTTCACCGCAGATATTATTCTGAAGCATCTCCTTCGACCACCTTTCAGTTTTTTTCTGTGTGCAAGTATTCGTAGAAGTTCTTTAGAAAGAAGAGAGAAGAAAAAGTAGAAGTTCTCTAAAGTAGAAATTCTCTATCGAGACTTAGCCTATGCATATCATATTTACATGAGCGTAAAACTTTAACGACTTTATCTTGCCACCATATTTTTGGTTTTCTTTCTGACCGCCGCGATTCTTTGGATCCAGTCGAACACGTTTCTAGTTCAGTTCTCCTGATATCCTCTTGAACCCGCTTCCGACCCATTTCCGTTGCAGGATTTGTTCTCTGTTAATCCCATAATTATCTGCTTTTGTATTCTGATCAGTCCTTTCCTCTTCCAGTTCCCTCGTGCGCTCACTGGCGCTCAGTGCTCCGTACTTCGCTTTGTGTATATAAGCTTAAGTTGAATTTAAATTCAAGACATGCAATGCGATCTGTACTCTGCATGTGCAAAAATAACATCGAGCAATGACCTGCTTAAATTATTCTTAAGGTGATTAGAAACATGGAAGAGATGCCATCATGTGATGAGGTCTCCCATAGCTGTGTTATGCAACCGTTTATACCTAGGAAGCCACAGAAGTGTAGTGTTTGATAGCGTATTTGACTGTTCGACAGTTCTAGCTGATAATATAATCCGGTTATGCAGTTTATAGGTCATCCCTGCAGTCAAAGTGGAAGCTTAGCTTTCATGATTTCCGCATATCCGCCCATGTTCATCTTCAAATTTAGAGTACTTTAATGACAACTCCCTGCCGAGGTCAGCAATAGAATGCACTCACATCGGCGCCTTACGGGCATCGTCTTAGAATATTGCAAAAAAATGCCTTCATCCTTTGATTTTGAAAGTTGGGTCTTGAAAGATCTGCATATATTCTTGAAGCATGGTAAAGAGGGTTCTAGGAAAAATCGCTTTATTTCAGCATCATTGGCTCCTTTGTTCATAATGCTTATTTCAAAGCTCCTTGCGGCTAAATGCTACTACTGTCTCGTTATCAACCACTGTTAAGTTGAATCAGTTTTAAATTCTATATTAATGCAGCGCTTGCTGACGTATTTACAGATGGCCTAAAAAACGCACTCAATTTTAAAAAATTTTCCGGTATGGTCAGAATTTTGTTCATAAGAGCATTCGCAAAAAACTGCAGAATTATTCTAAAAGTGCGCTGCACATATAGTTTAATAGTTTGAGAAGTATAAGATGAAAACTCAAATCAGGAAACATCCCTAGTTTAAAAATCCGCTCTCTGAAAAGTCGTGTGCACCTAGTACCTGATATCAAGATGTGATGTTTGTTTCAGTCATGCCAAAGATTAGAAATTTCCGCGCTTCAAACCTGTACAATGTTCCAGTCGGAAAACAACTGACATTGCTCTGTGTCGTTCAAGGGACACCTAAGCCAAAATTAGCTTGGTTCAAGGGAATTGAGCCTTTGAATCGAAGTGATAATCACTACGTTTCCAGAACGGGTCAGGAGTTGCGCTTTGTTGCTATTCGAAGCACAGATGCCGGTCATTACATTTGCGAGGCGTCAAACTCTGTCGGTAAAGATACCCTCAATTTGACGGTCCAGATTCGAGGTGAAAGGCTCCTTTTTCATTTGTTACGTACTAAATGCAACTTGCTGATTCAGCACCCATCATCGAGTCGCGCAAACCACGTAATCTGATGAAGAATTGTGACATTAGACTCATATTGAGCTGCTCTGAACCTGGCAGACAACCTCCTACAGTGCACTGGTTGAAGGTTGGAACGTTTGAAAATATTTCATAAAAGACTGTAGTATTCAATGGCTGCTTTAAGAACGGCTTTCGTTTGTACGTCAACGATAGCGAGCACATTTTACCAGATGGCCGACTACAGGTGAACGTTAGATCACGTCAGCACATGCGATACACTTGTTTCGCAGAAAGTGTCGGTGGCGTTACGGCGATGGACACATTTATTGTCGGCGTTGGTAAATTTCCCAACATTGCCCTTCACAGTCACAAGTCATAATTAATATTTCAGAAGTCACGCGAGCCGCCGGGGTGGCAACTGCTGTAGTAGATGTATTGGATTCCAATATGTTAGAATTAGCAGGGGAAATTATCGGGTCAGAATCACTGAACATGAAGTGGACGTTCAACGGCCGACAGCCTGAGCTTGGTAAAGGACGACTTCGGATTTCTAGCGACGGTAGAAAGCTGCTTCTGAAAGCTGTTGCCAAAACTGCAGAAGGATTGTATACATGCTCAGGGAGCACTGATGGTGGGAAAGATGAGCAAATATTCCATCTTCGCGTAAAGACACACCCAAGAACGACTACTACCGTGAGGATGGCTTCTGCTGGTGATTCTGTGAGGCTGGAGTGCGACCTGACAAACCTGACTCCAATCAAGGTAGTAGCGCTGAATACAGTAGGTGCTGGTGAAAACCATTGCTAACCATTAGATAACTTGGCTGAAAGACGACAGTGTGATCGATGTTGGTTCCTTGGACCACGCCGTGAGGTTCCATCACCGCAATCGAACGTTGTCGATTACGTCTTTCTCACAAAGACACGGAGGGCGCTTTGTGTGCAGAACAGAGAGTACAACTGGCATCTCAGAGTCGCACTTCGTCCTCATCCCCGAAAGTACCTTCCGTTGCAGTCACTCATTTTGCTATTATTTACATACACGTACTTCCAGAAATTCTGAGAACGTCAGAACAATTCGTCAAGCAAGAAGTATCCATTGGCGAACACGTTCGTTTTGTGTGTGACATCATTATCCACGATGGCGGAAACTTCGGACTTCAGTGGCTAAAAAACGGTCGACCAATCAGTTCTCTTAATGACACGCTTCGTTACAGGGTTTGGTCGAGCTATTCAACGACATGTTACGTAATTAGCTTCTTCAGGTAATTGGCCGCACTCTCGAAATATCTTACGCAAAGCCGTTTGACATGGCGCTTTACTCGTGTGCAGCCAGCGATAGCTCTGGAACAATCCTGAAAAGCTTCAGTCTTTGCGTTATCGGTAATTAACCTTTACGTGGAGAATTTCGTATGATTTATGCTTCCCGTATAATTACATATCACAGTCTTAGCATTTCTGCAATATAATGAATAAACTTTAATGGCATAAATAGAATTCAATTCAGTTCATCAATTAATCATACAGCATTAAATAGATCTTGGCAAAAAAGAAAGAAAAATGCATTAGTGGGGACTAAGAGTGTAGGTCTTTTTATAAAGCTGAAATATAAATGACAAAGCACGGCATTCTGATTTCACATAGGCAGTATAAAAGATTTTGCCATTTGCTGAGCATCAAGTGTGGGGCAGATGTGCTCTCGCCTGATTGATTTGTTCATTTGCATTTAGCTTGGCACAAAGGATACTTACATGGGAAACGTCACGCTCTCGCACACACGCTTTCGCGCACAAAAAATTCAATGACAGACATGTGATTTGCATATCATAGGTGATTTAACTTAATCGATCTAATCAGTTTGCAGCATCGAAGACTTATAAAGCAGGACACAAAATAATTTTTAAAAGACTGTGTAATGAGGGCAACATAGAGAAAAATTTTATGACATGCTTCAAACAACTTTTAGGGCTCTTTCTGCTGAAAGATAATTTAGTTGGGTTAATCAGTCATCATAGTTTTTCTATCTGGCCAGGATGCCACGGTTAAATCTCATAATTCGGACTCACTCACAAAACCGCGCTGCAAGCTATCAAGGGGCGGACATAGAGCCAAATGGTTGAAGTATGTTTAGCAAAATAGCATTGTCCCGCCCTATAGTTCAGCATGTGGAGCACGCACGATTATCAGGGGTTCAGCGCTATCGGCAAAATCTTCTGAACCTGCTGCCATCACAATCTGATAGAAATAGCTGGCTGTAAAAATAATTTTAAAAATGATTTAATTGTAGAGAACCAATCAGTTTGAAATGAAATGTAGTAAAGTCAACTATTTTTCAGAGTAGGTGCTTTTCTTACTTAATCTAAGGAGCTCCACCTAGCCAAGAGTAGCTAATTGATTCATTACAAATTAGACTTGAGGCTTCAGAACTCACGCTTTCCTAAATGGTTTTTATTCGTTAGGTAATTTATATATTTTAGATAAACCAAAGTTTCTTCATTCCTACCAAGGCAGATTTTCCGTGGCTTTGAATCAATCCCTGTTGCTGGACTGCTTCGTTTCCGGTGTGCCTTTCCCTGAAGTTCGTTGGCTAAAGGTGAGTACTGATTTTCTTACCCCCTAATTTAACTCTTAGCGCTGCGCGAACAGTGAGCTGCTGAACTCCGTTTTCAGATTTTATTCCTGTTCGTTGTGTTTTCCACGGTTTGTTATTGTAATACCATTGTGAAAATGGGTCGACAATTTACGACTGTCGCAATAATTTTCGTAATTATCTTCATTTGCGGCTCAGTCCCAAGGATTTCGCAACTTCACTCAGGAGAGTGACTGAATTGAAGCTGTTGCTTACATATGCATTCTGATCGAAATCTGGTATATAAAACTGCGTTCTATGAACAATGAGGCAGGCTGTAAGATCTGTCGAACTGATTTCTTGGTTAAATTGAGATGGGCAGGTTTAATCGCTTACACATTTACACTATAAAGTTATCATAGACAAGCTTTAGCCCTCTTTGAGTACAGTGAAGCAGTTCCTCAATATCACCTGAATTTCCATAAACTGAGCATTTTGCAGAGCAGAGACACGTTTTGAGAAATGTCATCACCAGAAAAACGCGTTTATGATACGGAAAGTGGAAGAACTTGCGTTCCTCTGTCTGTCAAAAATTATATGATAAAGTGTAAATCAATTGCATAAAGTTTAGATAAATGGAAATAACAACATAATAACAAAATATTACAGCAATAATGATTTTAATATAAACAGAATTAAACTCTGAAATATTACTATTACAGTTCAGCTGTCGTAGTTGGCAATTACTATAGTGCAGTTTCGATGTCGCTATAATTTAATCCTAACATTATTAATAATAACCTTACGAACATGGGCTTTACCAGAATATATCTTCATTATTGTTCCCAGAAATCTAATGTACTGAAGCTCCACCATCTGAAGTTATTTTCAAGTTCTAGTAATTCATTCTTTCGCAAGGGCAGTCCGGAACAGAGTACATGTGCAACAGACGAAAACCTTTTGTTTAGTTTAAAATTTTCCGTTATTGAGTTGCCCTTTCTTTAAGCGAAGTGAAAACCTGAAGGAATTTGACTGTTTAAAGTCAACAGAAATGCGAGAAATTATGTAACTTATTGATACGTGCAGTTGAGGTCACCTCTTTGAACCGCTGGTCATCTCTGGTTTGTGGCGTCAGCTGCATTCGCAGCTTTTCAACGTTTGTGCTGTGAGACACCTGCTAACGAATCGCATAAGGAAATATTCCTCTTCAGACGCAGTTTTTCCTCTACATTGTTCCTCTGCGTTTCACGCTTGGCTGACGTCTGCATGTTTCAGCACTCACACGGAAACTCATGGACTTCAGCACGTCGATTATGGACAACTAGCATGTCTAACGTGACCAGCCTCTTTTATTAATCTCCACATCTATTCAGTTCATCTGTAGTAGGAAAAGAAAAGTCATTCCTACATCGCCTCACCATTTAACCCTCGTTACACAATTAAGCCATCGTTAGTACATGCAACTCAACAGCCGTTCTTGTTCCTGTGTTGAAGCAACTCCCTGTCAAATCAAGCACTGATCGCTGCTGTACCACTGTCAGAGTTACCATGAAATTGCTGTGAAAATAGGCTTCAGAATTTTTGAAACTTCTGACAGTTTCGTGGAAAATTCAGGTTCGTAGCCATGATTTTATTGATGTTGAGCCGCAAAAGTATTGCAGGGATAAACTTTGGAAATAGTGAAGAGACAGGTCCAGATTGCCTAGAATAAGTTACTGATGCTAATCATAAACCAAAGAGAATTACATTTACTTCTCGCCATTAACGGCATTCTTTCAAAGGAAATCTTTTGAAAAGTTAATAACCGACTTTACATAAATAACTAAATTTCAAGTCTTGTACATGCTATTTGGCACGTCAGATTTCTTCGGCGAATGAACGACGTTTGTACGATAAATTACCTGTCTTCCTTCCGGCTACCGCACGACAGCCGAAAAACATCGCTCTTCATTTCCCTAGATAGCAAAATGAAACCGTTTTGAAGCAAATATAAAACTAAGACCAACCAGCTTCCGAATATACGCAGAAAAGCAACATGGAACATTCTCGCCTTTTTGTGAAAACCAGCAATGCTATTAAGCTTCTTGAAATATTCATAATTATCCTATGTCATGATACAACTAAAGTACTATGTTTCATTTCTGATGAAGTGGATGAGAAAATATTTACGTAATCAATTTTGTTTTGCTTTTATCAAATTCCATTTCGGCATCCGCTTCAAATGAAACGGCCAAAGACCGAAGTAAGAGTTTCATCCCAAGTGAAATGTTGTAGAATATCTATATTTCAATAACCATATTTATATCCGTGCCTGTTATTAACCCTGAAATGGCAGATTAGGGAGACAGCAATGATCTGCAGACCTTAATTCTCATAGAGTTAATTTATCTAGACGAAGGGCAGTTCAACTGGAAATCCATACTGTTGAATTAGAAACTGACTATATTAATTAATCACGAAAGAAGGTAAAATCATTTTGGCATGGCCTTTACCATTTCATTAGAAGATGACAATTGTTTTTGCTACTTTGAAGGAAGGGTTTGAGACTTTTAGTAGATTATAGGAGAAACTGTAGCTAAAATAGCATCATTTATGTTTTTCTTAAATATATCTTTGGTTCTTGAAAGATGCAAAATCGCTTATCACCGACACCAGCAAAAGATTGGTAATCGGTGTTATAATGAAGTGGCAATCGCGCTTTCCAAATCTGAGAGATTCGAGTACAAAAAAGATACACTTTTGTACTTTTGATATCCAGATCATATCCCTCTGATTAAATAATGGCGTTTACTTGGGGCATAATATCTCCAAAATCAGATTTCACTGGGTAAGGCAATTCCACACCTCCATGATATTGTAGTACCAGCTCACGAAAGATCGTTCGCGACGGACATGAGGTTGCTCCAGCGAATAAACGGATATGAGCTGGCAGTACAAGAGCTAAAATACCACGGATCCGTGGCAACTATGGTCAAAGGAAATGAATAATGCTGTACAATCCGATTTTGGATGAGTTATCCACCTTGTAGTATACTCCGGCGTACGAACATATTTTGATGTGTATGCGTTGGCACTTAGTTTTAGTTATTTATGCTTTTACAAAGGCAGTCATTGGTCATGTTTAGAACGGTCACAGCCGAGAATCTACGTAAGCAAATGAGCTTAGAATGTTTTATGCAGCTGAAAAGGAGCTAACTTTCTGAATGATTTGTGGTCAATAGCTAAAGGTAGCTTAGCATGAAGTTTCAAATTTTTCGACAGCCGGTTTCCCAACTTTGTTTTGATAAGGTTAATGGCCTTAACTCCAAACTATTTCGAACTCACATCTGTGAGAGATTGCTTTTAAAAGAATCTTTGAATTCTTCTTATTCCCACATAGTTAGCGCTGAAGTTTGAATTGATGTGGACGATAATAGCGGTGAGGGCATTTCGTTCACTTTGTTTAATATGAACAGAATGTCTGAACCATTGCTCATACTGAAACGAGTAGAAAATCACCTGACCACCTTTAAGTGCCTTGGCTTTCAGTTTATCTGAAAACCGATCGATATAGTGTTGCTCTCATATTCGAAGTTTTCTACTTAACAGCATAGCTTAGAAAAAGTTTTAAACTCAAGTTCAAGAATCGCTTTTCCCATCGTCCTTGTATGCACGATCAAATTTCACGAACAGTATGGCCTTGAATTTTGGTGACGCAAAACGCGAAGATTTTTCATTTTCTAAATTTGTAGTTGGTCAATAAGTTTCAAACCGAAAACGTTGCCAACAGTTGCGACGATTCATTTTTTATATTATTCATCGCAATAATTCGCGCCGTAAAAATCTGAGCAATTTTCTTGACGATGCTATTGGTAAATGTGACATCAGTTCTCTTTTACATCCATGGAAAATAACTGCAATAAACTTGCATCCACAAGCTGAATTCACATATGGCCGTCCCATGGCAGCAGGGTGAAAGTAAAATGATCCATTTTGAACGTTCTGGCAAGGCAGTTGTTGCAAGGTGTGCACTTGAGCAGGGGATTCTTGTACGCACGTATTTCATACCACGTCGACGGTAAACTTCGCTGTCGTTGCGTTGCTCTCGGCAACACTCTGAAGGTGAGTGTACAAAAACAAAACCAACGTTGTGAACCAGCATCGGACAGGTTGTGCTGGCTGTCGTCTGCTCCTGTCGGCTGTTGAGAACAGACAGATCGACGACTTGGACAAACACCCACTGTAGTGTCGATCCTTGACTATAGCTACGGATTACGCTTCAGACTGGCAGATTGGATTGCGTTATAAAGTTTAGAGTATGAACGACAGTCAGTGTCAGCGAAACAGATCGGTCAGCAGACTTCGGCACAGAAGGACTACGGTGACGGTCAGCAATAAAAAGGACATCACCGGAGCAGGGACGGTGGCCGCACATTTCCCGTATCGGTTGCACAGGTGATGGTTGCGGTTGCACGACAGTCCAATGCGAATGATGGGCCGGCCATTGCGATTGCCGATGCCATATTTGCGAAACGCACTTTCACACTGCTTTGTCCTGAAGTCAAAACAACAGAGTTCACACCGGTTAGCCAGCGTGTCACACTCGCAAGTGACTAATTGTGACCAGTGGTCACCGCAGGGGTCCCGACAGTCGCCATCGACGCACAGCCGGCTGTTGAGCAGATCGCAGTAGCGTCCCTCTGATCTATTGCGACACACGTTTCCGGTGCATCGCTCATTGACACACACTCGACGTTGACTCTTGTCGTCACACGGCATCCCGTTCGGCATGTGGCGACATCGGCGGCACGTGTCCCTTTCCCACGTTTCTCCGTTTGGCTAAAACGAATGTACGTCTTGTAGTCGTTGTCCATCACGGTCGATAGATTTAAAGCACTTACGCAAAGCGCCTTGGCAAACGAGTCACATCTGTTCTCCTAGGCATACCTGCTTGTTAAGGATTAAAGTTTCTCAAAACAGAATGTCATGTTAACATCACAGCGGATTAGCGTAGCTGTTATCCTAGATGACCCGCTTTAACGCCTTTTCGTTGCCCTCTTGAACTTTTTCTCGGTGTCGATGCTCTATACCTCTATCATTACGCATACAGACTACAAAAAGTTTCCAATCGACGTGTACGCGCACTTAACATAACTCGCAAATACAAACATCGATTGGCTGGCGCAAAGCTACGCATGATCAAGTTCATACTGCAATTATTGCCTCTGAACAAATAAAGTAAATGACTGATCAGTAACTAGTTTCATTTTCCAAAGTTCCTGAAACGTACAGCCTGAATGTTGATCACATATGATTCGGCATGGCATAAGAGCCTGATATTTATTTGGAATAAAAATATATGGAAAATACAAGTCCTCTTGTTATAACTACAGTATTCCAGTTGTATCTTACTAGCCTTCTACAGTTGATTTGAATCCCATGTTGATCGGTCTGCTGTTCCAGAGATGAACATCGCAAACCGATTGACTTTATAAAACTTCAGTTACATGAGTTCTAAAAATCAAATGTTATTTTACGTGATCCGATCACCTATCTAGACTATTTTCAAGTCTTTCTGAACAGCCACACTTGAAAAGCTCGGCTATTTTCACACTAGCTCATCACTAGTGGCAGCAAATACGAACTATCCGTATATTTGATGCCACTAGTGATGATTCGTCCTACGAAAGACAGACATCTGAGATTCACTTCAGACCTCTTTTCTGTTACTGTCCTTTTCTGTTTCAGTATTTCTGTGCTTGACTTTTATTGAGCTTATGTATTTCGGTTTAAAACCTCTCATTTGCTCGGTGGAAAATAGCTATCCGATAACACGTGCCAGAGAAACAACGGCAGGAGTTATTCTTGTCCGTTGGTACGGTTGCCGTGAATACTGGCATGTAACCAGTAGCGGTTTGATAATGAGGCCCTGCATGTGAGATTTGAGGAAACGCGCGTCGCTTACTTTCTAACTATAAATATGTTTCTGTATAATCTTCAAGAACCTTGTTCACAACGAAGCGTTACTGAGTCGAATGTTGAGTCAAAGAACATCATAGCGCCTTAGAAAGTCAGAAATGCTTCAGAATGTGCCACGGCGCTTACGAATCCCTGAGATGCAAATCGCCATTCAAGACCTGGACGGTGGTTAACGAGAATTTATTCTGAATTATTCATTTATTATGTGTTTTATCCGTAAAAAACGCCAAAACTCACTACTCTATTCCCTGTTGGTCTTAAAGTAAGATCGCTGAAATTTTGCTCAGGTCAAGTCATCGAAGGTGGCATTCATCGCGATCATTTTTATGAAACAGAATTTTGCAGCACATAGGTCCCGTAAATGCAAGAACAAAATGCAACTTTTCATAGTCGATCGATAAGTTACCGAGATTAGCAGGTTACCAGTTTCAAGTACCGACAAAACAACAAAGCGTCGGCATTAAACATTTTCCTCTTAAGTGTCGACCTAGTTTAAAGTCATAGCTGACGTCATTGAATCCATATGACTATTAACTAATTGTGGCTAACATATAACTCGAAACACACGGATCGGGGGTCAATTAAGTTACAAATTTCTTGTAAATATCCGTACCATCAGTTGCTACAAGTGCTGAGCTCCTGTTGTTCCATTCCCGATTCTTCCCATGGCAAACTTCTGAAGTATCCAAAAGACAAAATTTGGCAGAAGCGGCGGGTTGCAAGTGGGTGTTGAAGAATATTCTCCATAAGCTTGTAATTTCCATCGTTAATTTTCAGCAACTTCCGCGCCATCTTGTCGAAGTTCAACTAGCTAACCGGGGTTCTCGCCATGCCGCTCTTCAGCAACACTTTAGCCGTTCTATTAGAAGAAACATGTCTGCGTCAAACGGACGATGAGAACGTCTTCGGTTTAGAAGACTTCGCTTGTTACCACCCTCATCGTTCAGGGAAAGTTAAGGTTCATGGTGGTGGCGGTGGCATAATAACCTGCGTCAACTTGGCTTGGTGTGAAGACTGCTCAGAAACGTTTTTCCTCGAAGATGCTGCGAAGTTTCTCGTAGTGGAATGCAAGCCATATTACCTGCCGACTTCTTAAAGCATTCTCGTTGGTAACTTGTACATAATCGTAAATCCTGATTGCAAACGCTCAATTATTGATTCCTTTGAGCAGAAATTTCGTGACAGCGTTGGCCCCGGTTTGAACAGTCAACTGCATGTGTTCATGGGCAGCGTTAGCCTACCCGGCCTTACGTCGTTACGAAGTTCTTGTCTCAAAGACTTCGTTTGCTTCCCACCAAACTTGATGCAAGACTGGATTACACAATAGTAAATATTCGAATGTTTCGCCACTATGATTTGGATATTTCTGATCATCGTATGATTCGTCATATGCCGCATACGTCAGCAGCAAATATGGAAAACGTTCATTAATTCGGCGACGTCGTCGTGTTTTTATTCATATGTCATTAGTTAATTGCAGTCTATAATTAAAAACAACAGACTAGGTCGTTCTCCGTGACAATGCCGCAAGCAACCACGTGGAATCCGCAATGGTGAACATAAAATTTGCCTTCGATACCTGTTGCCCCCGGCAGAAAATTTATGCAATTATCGTTGGCTGCCGATCAGATGGTGTTATACGATTGATTCGGCGAAAGAACAAAGATTACAGGATCAGAAATAAAGCGGCCCTTAAATGCTTGCGGAGGCAACTGACATCTGAAAATGTTTGACTCAACCTCAACCGAGTAATCAGTTGCCTTCTTGACCTGCATAAACGCGAAGGATAAATGGGCCGCGAATAACCGGCTGTACAATTGGAAGACGAGATACACAGCCTTGCGGGCAGACGCTGAGACTTTGCACAACAATTTTCTACGCTAAGAAAATGAGGAAGCAACCACAGATCCGCTTAACAACTTGCCTGAAGCAATCCTTATGAATCGGAAAATCGTGTCTTCGTATATCATTTCGATGGATAGTGTAAGGTGGCAGTTCAAAAACAGTTTCCACGACTGTGCAGTCAGACAGCCTAGCTCCCATGGCATAGAAGCCTGATGTCGACTCACTATCTGAAGTCTTTGCCGGACTGCACAGCCAAAGTCCAGCGGAAGGTCCAATGCCGGATCCATGACAGACGGTGTGAATAACGCCTACCCTGAAATCTCCTAGGCTGCCTAAAGCAGCTAAATAAAGATCAGGTGCAGTGGTTACAATGGCATTTATAAATGCTTAGAAAGAACTGTCTCGTCGTCTATTTATTCAAAAATGTTGCGAGATGTCTATCTTGGTAATGCGGTTATTAGCGAGGACGCAGTGCTCTGGATGCATTGGCTGTACCTGTCAGTATCACTACCAACAACCTCGACGAAGGTTACTCTTCAGAAACGGGTGCCTTTCTTGACTGTAGCTCAGCCTACAACACTTGAACTGTTCACACTGTTGGCCAGCATCGATGTCGAGTATCACACTGTCAGCCTGTTAGCCACGTATTACTCTAGAGTCCGACAGTTTGTTGAAGTCGGCAAGAATAGAGGAATGGTTCGCCTGACGACGCGAGATGCACAAGGATCCTGTTTCTCCCGTCATACACCTATCTGATACTAACACGACGTGCGTGAAACACGCAGATAATACTGCTGTGTTAGCTTCAATACATACCACGTCTGAATTATTGCATTTCTTTGTCTCCATTAACGAGGTTTGGGACCGGATTAACGGTTATTCCTAATAATAAATGTAAGGGAATCAGGATATTCTAATTTCCATCATACAAGGCGCGTATGCAGAGACTACACAAAAATTGCTTCACAAACTACGCAGTTCTGCAACAACTTGTTTGAAAAGTTTCCACGGTAAAATACTTGAGGTTGATTATCGACGAGAGCCTTGGCTGGGAACAGGGAGTGAATGCAGCTGTTGGTAAAGTGCGGTGACCGGCTTCGGTGTTGCACAGATTGAGGAGGTTATGCCTGGTTCAGAAGTGCTGACAGACTTCAGCAAATGCGGTATTTTGCCGGTCTTCCTTTGCGCTGCATCGGTCAACTTATGCAGTCCTGGCGAAAACAGCTGAGCTTTTGAAACAACCTGGTCGATTCGGTAACTGCGACTCAGGGGATTAGCGGGTTTGGTGCATTCCAACCATATGCTTGTTCAGTACAACAGCTGCTTTGTTCAGTTCTATTCTAATTCTATTCTAACCGACCTAACTTACCCCTGTACCCATGTAGCCAGTAGTGTCCTTCGAAACTGTCAGGCACGGGTTCCATGTACGTTGCTCGCAGATGTCTGACTGAAGCTTACTAAACAGCGGTCGTTCCGTTCGTTGCCGGATGTTTGATCGAATCTAATAAAGAATAGCTGCCATTTTGGACCAGACTCTGATCAGCTTGATATGGAACCACTTTAACTGCTGGTTTTATTGCCTTGTATTTCAGGTTGCATAATTAGACCTCAGTCAATCTGGACGAATTGAGGTAATGGTACGGTAGATGGACGTTGAAATAATGACGTAACATTTCTGGAGCTTACGTGTCCTCTGAAATGTTAGGAACAAGGCCTTCCTAAATTTATTTTTCACTGGTCTCCTTCCTCAAAATGACGGAATACAAACTGCGTTAAACTCCTGCTTTCGTTATGAGAAGGAATAATGGTGGCGCCCTCCAATCCTTCCATCAGAATTTATGTCAATAGCATTCTTCCGTTAAGCAAAATCGGTGGACAAAATGTGGAGTATTATTGTGGCCACGCCGATTCTGTCTTATTAATAGACCGTTTGAGGTGTAGCAGAGCTCGAACAGTGGCAGTAACTGAGTAACAAAATAGATTCGACAGTAGCTATTCTTGCCATCATTCGTACTTTTGCATTTGCTCATCCTTCTAGGCGTAACCTCAAAATCGTCTCTGAATCTAAAACAAACAAATACTAGTTCAGTATTTATAACGTGAACGCGGAGATTATCCTGACGATGAACTGAACATTACAAGTTATTTTTTAATCACCGAATTATTTGGAGAAAGCATATTTAAGTTTTGTGTATTTACGACTGTAGCGTGCCTCGGTAGCTGCCTGCGTTAAACCTCTTCTTCTAAACTTATAATCGTTAATGTAACAGTGGTTAATTCAGCGGCTGAAGTAACTAATGACAACACCCGAATAGAATTGGAGACGCACAATGAAGCTTATGTATACGCTGTGGTAACCAGTTGATGCTAGAACCTCTTATACGCAGGAGGGGCATATTTGTAAAGTAAAAGGTTTGAAGCACAGCATGGGTGACTGCCGTACATTTATCTGAGAATTTTAAGAACACTTCCAGCAGGGGAAGATCACACTTCGCTTCCGCCAAAATAAACATTCGATTGCACTTTTCTTGCTACGTGACCCATGTGGTTAACGAGAACTGTGCATCGTTGTTCTGTATTTGTCTTTATAGAAGTAATTTTTTATATCATGTAGAGAAAAATAATCGAATTATTAGCATAATGATTTAGTTCTCGAATTTCACGAGTAATGATAGAAACGAACAATTTATAAAATCAGCAGTCGACATTTTACGAAACATGCGTAAATGAGGTTAAAATGCAACGTCTGTTTAGCTGCTAAAAATGCCGAATCTATATTGATTTTCATTGCATAGAATCATTCGCTGTTTTCAGTTTCCACGTTCCTTGCTGAGAGATGCAAGATATGCTTTCCATTTGCATGATGTACATAATCACGTGCACTCTGAAAGTACTCCAATCTAAAATTATGACTTATTCGACGCTTTAGATTCAACTCTAGTTCGCTGTTGCTCGACTTGGCTGTTTGCCGTTGAGCAACGTTTAACAAACTCATCTTCCTTAAAATCTCGTAGCCCGCTGATGAGAAATGCTGTCTGACAATTCGTGGATATTTATAGCTTCAACTTTTCCGTGAGTTCCGGAAGGGTCTACTCAGAGGTTGCATGCTAGTTTCACCCTTATGATACATCTGGCATGCACATGTTATTGTAAGCACAGTGAAATAACCACGTGGATCAAAATTAGAACTAGTGAATCAGCAGAGTCAGTGATTATCATCATCCGCTATTTCAATTACCACTGATCAGTGACTGCTCGCTTTTGCTGTGACAACTCAGTCTCACTGAGACTGTAAAGATATGAGTACAAGTCTTCTACGCACGTGTTTCATTCGGTACTACATGCACACTGAACTAATTTCGCGAAACTTTCAGTAGCATGATAACTCTGAAGTGCGCAGTTCCTGTTAAGCCTGGCATATCTGCTTGGCAGCCATCTCTTTATACAAGGGGGAATTTTAGAGTCTCTTTCAGAATGGAAAAATTATTATGAAAAATCGTTTAACGGGCATAATTAAGAGCAAAGCAAATTGAAATACTTTACCTCTTTCACGTAAAATTAGCGTATGCTGCAATATTTTTATTTTACTCCTAATTCAGAGATGCCTTGATTTATTAATACCAGAGTAGGTATCCACTGCGATATTGAAAATCCTTTGATTTGTACTCTTTGGGACTTGCTGACTTTGTCACGATAAATCGCAAAGTGATTACCCCTCCCCCTGGGTTTGCACTATGCTTTATCTTATTCATTAATTTCGTTCAGCAAGGAATTGACCACACATTGTTTCGGACCGATATTGCTCAGTTGAGAGAGTGTCGAACGTAGAACTGATAGGTGTTGAGTTAAAGCCTCGATCAGGACCACTCATCCTTCTTCCTTCGGAGGTCGATAAAAGAGTATCACTCCGTGGGAAGGAAACAAAAAACTACACGCTACGCATGCCACGTGAATAATGTAGACTCTGTCTTTAAAAAATAAAACATTAATGGCTAATGGTATAGAAATGGAGATCAGCACCACACCATCGACCTCATGAAAAGACGAGCTCCAAAATGGCTCAATCATGACAGTAAAGAAGATCGACAGTCCACGGATAACAAATTTTCCGTTCTTTTCCTCATGGTTATCGGGTACAAACCCCATGCGCGGCGTAAATTTTTACTTCATCCTCAATATCGGCTTTTGTCAATCCACTGCTATACGAAGGCTTCTTTAAAATTTCGCCATATACCTCTGTTTTCGGCTATATTCATCCATCTGATCCAGTTAACGTATTCACCTCATCCTGCCATCGATCGAGAGGTTTTCCTGCGGGCCGTCTACCTCCCTTTG